CTGTGATCACAGATATCGATGCCTTCAGCACTTCTTGAGGTCTTACTCAAATAAGTTCAACTAGGTAAATAGTCGTTGGTTAGCCCATGCACACGAATACAACATATACAATAATCGGGCCCCTTAGCAAAAGGATAGTCAGGAGTCTAGTCAGGAGATGAGTGTGAGGCCATGTGATGCATTCGCTCTCAGAAAGAGTGTTACACATACGCGAATGTTGCTCACCACCCTACGTTTCTCCAAGATTCTCATTGTCTCCAGACTTTATACCCTCAGTGTGTCTCTGTAACTATCCACACTAGATTCAATCATATCCGAATTTTAGAGTCATTCTCTTTCTCACTCATCAAATCGTGCTTAGTAAAGTACTTCCAGACTAATTTTACTTTAGTCCATTTCATATCAATATCATTCCAGCATACTATTTTACTCAGATATATTCATAAAATCTCATAATAATCATTCAGCAGATTTAATCATCTTCACACATTAATTACTCATCATGTAATACATATGAACATATATCAACCACTCAACCCAAGCAACCAAATAGTCCAAACAATCAAACAAGCATCTTTTCATTCATACTTCATACAACAAATATCATAACCATTTATTTTTATACCATATTCTCCTAACAATGCTATATAAGCATAAAATGAATATTATACTATAACTATAAAATAGAGTTCTCCTTACCTCGAAGATAAGCTCAAAGAGATATATTGAAAAGGTAGGGAGTCAACTATTAGAAGTTCTCTTGAACACCAAGAGATATCCATAAGAAACAAGAACAGGAAAAATGATCGAAAAAACTCAAGTTTAATCCGAAGAAACTTACTTAGCTTCAATGTCCGAGCATGATTATGAAGAGATATCAGAGTTTCTGAGACTTTTATCTGAGTGAAAAAAAAAAAAAAGAGTTCAGAGGAAACTTAAGGGAAGGACATGAGTTTGTAATAGAATAAATTTCTTATACGAGAAATCTCATAAATACCCCTCAGCCTAGCGCGTTCTCGCTTGAGCGAAGGACATTTCAGTTGAGCGACGAGCATCTTGCCTGAATGAGATATGCAGACAGTGGTCTTGCCCACTATTTTCTGATATGCTCGCTTGAGCAAGCTTCATCTCGCTTAAGCGAGATGGTGTCCAGAGAGCATGTCATTTCTCCTGTGGGTCCTCGCCTGAGCGACCCATCTCGCTTGGGCAAGATTCTCAGCTCGCCTGAGCGAGATCACTCTCGCCTGGGCGAGGTGACGGTTGGCCAACATTTATCTTATCTCGCTTGAGTGAGAATCATCTCACCTGAGTGAGATAGCTCTACACCAAGATATTTCTGCATGCTCAATCTCACTTGGGCGAGATTTACCTCGCCTGACCGAGATCTCCTACACCAAAACTCCTCTAAAAATCCTTCAAATTTACATCTAATTATATTCTAATGCAACTCAATATTACATAAATATAATTTACAGAAAAATGAGAAGAGAGTGTTACAAATTCATTCTACATTTTCCATTTTGCCACATTTCCTGCACTTGACATTTGGCCTTCACCAACATCTTCTCGGACGATGGTTTTCTTTTTGCAATGAAGACAAAGAGGAAAAATTTCACCTTGTTGCTTGCTGGAGCTTTCCATTTTTTTGTTCTTCCATTTGTTGTTCTTTCTGTCTTTATCACCTTTTGAATTTTGTTCTTTCATATGAAAAGTACCTTGCACTACCTCCTTTTGCCTCATCATTCTTCTATGCTCTTGAGCCTACAAAACATTTATTAATTCTCCCCAAGGTAATATTTGACAGGTCTTTTGATTCTTCCAATGCTAATATCTTTGATTCATATTTGTTTTGAAACAGTGACAAGAATCTTTTGCACAATTCTTTTATTCAAAAATCCTTACCAAGAAGTCTCACTTTGCTATTCTTAAGAGTCTGTCAGCATAGCCTTTGATGGTTTATGTCTCTTTCATGCTCTGCACTTTGAATTCTCTAATCAAGTTGAGAGCTTGCATGCTATTAGTTCTTTCGCAACTACGATATTTTGATTTGAGATACTCCCAAATGGCTTTGGGAGACTGTAAGGTTCATAAATCTTATAATATTGTTTTCGACATGGCAGAAGAAAAAGCAATTTTTAACTTTAGCCTTTGTTTCTTCCTCTCTTTGTGAATCTTCATCTAAGTTGTAGTAGGATTTCCAGGTAGGTCAGAAACATCATAGTCATTTTCTATTGCCTCCCAAAAATTTAATGCTTCAAGATGAGTAGTCATCCTTGTAGCCTATAATTTGTACTCTCACCATAAAAAAATAGGTGCATCGATTGCATGATATGTATCTCCTTCCATTATTGTTTTCCACAGATCCCTCAAAGATAATAGCTCATATACAATTTGTTGTTTCGATTTTATAAGAGCAGAGAGATAAAAAGGAGGGAAACATTTGACATTTTATTAAAATGATCTTATATAAAGAGCGCAAATATATCAAATTATAATCCCTTGTTTTGTGAACATTATTTGAAAATTTTAAAAAAAATCATTACGGCATAACATTCAAAGCTTAAACAGCATAAATAAATCCCTACAAACTAAAAAATAAACTATGACTTAATCAGCTGTTATAGGCACATATTCAACACTCCTTAATAGCACATAAATTAAAACAAAATTAAGGACATAGATCAAATGTTTGAATATCCTTTGTGTCAGTCACCTTCATTGTATTCCTCTAGGGTTTGTTCCATTTGTTGTTTTAAGTTTGTATGTTCTCAACATTCTTCTTAAGTGAAAATTTCTATGCCAAATTGTTAGATTTTGGGTTGGCAGGGACTGCATATATATATACCTCAATGTGCTGTACATCACTGACAATCTAAAGGCAAGTTTATGGATATTAATAGGAATATGAATTTAGGTACTGGTCAATGCTTTGGTAGGTGTTTTTTCTTTTTCTTTTATAGTCAAATAATATAGAAAATAAAAATCTAACCTGGCTGGTGGTCAACGTCATTTGCAAATATCTAGGTATGCTTTTGCATCTAATTAAGGGAATATTCACTTAGCAATAGGGTAAAAAACAACCGGCATTGCATTAGCATTAGAATTAGAATGTGAAGAAGATACAGTAGCAGATCAAACTCTAATCACGAAGTCAAGGATAATGATATGTTCGGATGAGAGACAAAATGCAGGTCGATTGAAATTAATCTCTTCCACGTCAACGGTAACAAAGAAAGGTAAGTAAATCTTAAACAATAAAATCATCAATCATACATATAACTTGATCATTTGTAAAATTAAAAGTACCCGCTTCTAGTATATTTTAATTCAACAACGAGAGCATTCCATTATCTTTTGTATTCCTTTACGCTCCAAAATTGCAATTAGACAAGGTTTATCATTCCACTTTTGATAAGAAAGTTGTGGGCTTTGCCACTACTTGCACCAACAGTAAATGCAACAGTAAATGCAATTGTGATAATGGTGGAAGAGAATTGGAACTAAAACATGATGCAGCAGTATTGGAATTGAAGTAGGGGGGAAAAGCGAAAGAGGGGAAAAAAAAAAAAAAGCATACTCCTGGTGGAGGAAGAAAAAGGAGGGGGGGGGGGAGAGAGAGAGAGAAAAATTGAAAGTTGTAATAGATAATGTAATAGAAAAGAGCGATAAAAAAGAAAGAGAAAATGAAAAAAATGAATGTCAGAAAAAGTGAATGAATAAATAAAAGAGTTAGTGTAAAAATACGATACTAATCAAGTCAAACTAATGAAACAAAAGAAACGTATTGATAAAAATTCAGAAAAATTTTGCTAAATTTATAATATTTGTTACAAAACTAATTTCTTGAGTTGCCATTGCTTCTAAAGGATCATATAAACAATATCGGGTAAATAAAATTTCTTCCACCTCAAAAATGCTGTTTACATTCAGTAGAATATGGATAAAGTCTCTATGTCTAAGTTGGCATCACATGAAACTTGTCATTCACCCTAATGTTTTATGAGACAATATAAATATCCGATGTATAACCCTTATAGAAAAATGTTAGAAACACATTTTTTGACACACTTTTAAGCTTTGTTTAGATGTATTGACTTCGTGACAAAATAAATTGAGAGGGATAATTTTATGTAGAAAGCATAATTTTCTTTTATTTGAATGTGTCATCTTTTAGTTAGAAACAAGAAAAAAGTGTGTAAAGCTACAAAAAAAAAATCATCTCACCATACTATGAAATGAACAATAAAAAAAATAAGATAATTTCAATTTTTTTCTTAGTTTATTATAATATTATATAATTGTTAAAAATAATGTAAAAAAATAAAAATTTAATAAAAAATAGAAACATTAAAATATTACATTAAAAGTTTTAAATTTTTATTAAATTTAATTTTATAAAAATAATTAGCTTAAAATATTAAACTAGTTCCTACCTTGTTTTTGTTTGTAGTGTTTATGTTGTCAGAGGGAGCTTTGGTGCTTTTGTTCAAGCCGGGGAAAGGCAACGAAAGGGAGAAGCATTCAACCAATAGAGCTGAAGCCATGTATAAGTCTTCTCTTCTATGATTCAGCCGTGAAAGAAGCCCACTTTTGACTTTACCATCTCTTGGGATGGGGAAGATCTTGTGGCTATGGGGTCTGAGACCCTGCACTTTGATTTAAATTACTCTTTCGACCACGAAAGCAGAAGCCTGAGTATGAGTTAAGTTTATGAATAGATAAAAACAAAACGCTCAAGGTGTAATCACAAAAATGCATATAAATGTGAGGCTAAAATTAAGTAGTTTCATTGACTAAAAACCAAAACATGAATAAATGTAAGAACTACTTTCATAATTAAGTCAATAATTTTTATACAATCTATTTTTTTCTTTTGACGGTCTCTCCTACTCATTCAAATAATCGAAAAGATTTTTTACTTATTTCTTTCTCTCCTATGTCTACTCATCCAAGCCATACAACTTTTTTATTCTATTTCTTACTCCTTTTTTCTTTCCTTTCTATTTCACCTGTCTGATTAAAATTTATTAAAATTTAAAAAAAATCACGTGAATTTTACATTTTTTACTCTTAATTTAATGATACTCTCATACTTCTGTAGATTTAATAAATTTTATAGCTAATAACTAAGAGTCTCCTAAAAACAGTATGGCAGGGAATGTGTTTCTAGCATGAACACTTCTATAATAGTTTGTCAAACACTGAAGAAAATCACTTCATAAGAAATGTGAAGAAGGCTATGAATAGATAGAATGAAATGAATGACATCAAAGGAAATCAAGAATAGCTATCTTAGCACCCTCTCCTTCCCTTTTCTGTATGATGCCAAGTTTTAACATGGCACACAAGCATAAGATCTCTAAATTTTCTGTGTTCACTTGTTTTGCAGTCCACCCTTTTGTAAAAACAACTAATAGCAGCAACTTTTGCTACTCCTCAAAATGCAGACATTGGCTGCCACACCCAACAAAGAAAAATCGAATAATAAATGACTAATTGACATTTATAAAAAATGAAATAGTAACTCATTCCACACATCAGGTACCCCTGGCAAGCACCAGTGTATGCAATCGGAGTAAGATGAGGGATTTGACAATTGTTCGGGGCGAAGGGGTTCCCAAAATTTGCGAAAAATGGAAGGATGACCATCCTTTCTATACTCTGACAGTTGAGTAATGTTGATGACAGAAACTTTTGAACTCAAACTGCTTAGGATCTTCTCCACAGTACTCATAGTTGGCAAATCAGAACCGCTTCCCCAATAACCTTCAATGTCAATGGGGTCCTTCTCCCCATAACAGTTTGCATTACTTTCTGGCTTCCATTCGCGGCTCCTAAATGAGAATTGTGTTCATTCCAGTGAGAAAATATAGAGCATGCAATATTTGGATTAACCAAATTAATGTTATGATGCTATAAAAAGGTGTAGCAATTATGATACTACGAGGAGATATCTTGTCATTTGGATGAGATTCATTTTACAACTTTATTGTATAACATAATAAGACACCATTAATAACAAGTAGGACTTTTTTTTTCTATAATGAATTATTTTCCTTAACTCTGTTACTGCATCAATTGCCAACAAGTTTTCTTGTCATTAAGTATTCATTATGCATTATACCTCGTATGTTTGGTAAAACTATTGGTATTGCCACTTCATATCTAATTCTATTAAATAGTCAACTTCAATAAAAGTCAAACTTTTCTGTTTTGGGGATTGTGGGAGGCCCCATTTTGGGACCTAACTAGAGGAAAGGGGAATGTTTAATAGACTTAAAAAAACCATGAGTCACTTTTTCTTGTTTGCTTTCCTTGCCCTCTAATTGGAAGACGACACCTTATCAGAACCTTAATTAAGAGAGAAAATATTGTCAACTAAAAGGATTTTTTTCTATGGAGTCATTTTTCAAAAGGGAGAGGGTAGAGAGCATGTAAAGAGTGATCTGAATCAATGTTGAACCTGTATCACTACCAGCTTGGGTCAATGGCCAAGTGATGTCTAAAATTTCTTTTGCCATTCATACAGTAAAGTCAGATTCCACTTCAGAGTGGGGAGCTATTACACTTTTCCTAATGGATGAATGAAAGTTAAGAGTTTAAGGAGGGCGATGCCATCCTTGGCAAGGACATGCCACAGGTGACAAGCCTAGGCAAGGTCTTACAGTGGCACACGCCAACCATGGGAAATTGCGGACAACAGAATCAAAGCAAAGCCTTCCAGGCTATGGCCAAGTGCTTTTATTCTTTTCAACTGAACCAAAGCAGAGCTAATATATTTTAACACAACAGAATGCATGATAACGAAAGAAAAATAAAAATTCAAATCAGAAACCGTAAGTTTTTTATACCGGGCCAAATTTGTGAGAAGTACATGCTGTCATGGAAGAGGGAAGAGCAGGAGCCAGGAAATTAAAAGTCTAGTTATAGTAGGCAATGAGTATGATATGACAGAGAGTTTGCTTTGGATTATGCAAATGAAAGCTAACAAAAAGACAAACAATAATCACTGACATAGTTCTGTAACACGTTTTAAGAATGCATTACAAACAATGATTTAGACCAGCCACCAATAAATGTTTTCTCATTTAGGCTTTAGCTATAATGTCATTTGAATAAAGAATTAACATAACCTATGGTAAAGGTTCATGTCCAAAGATGCATACAAGCAAAAATATTTCCTCCTAGCCGAGGATCATACAGAATCTAGATCGGGTGCTCACCAGAGATGAGTTGGTGACATGGTCACAAAAAAGACACGCTTCTTGAGAGGATCAACTTTAGAAGCTATCCAATCTGCCCAGGCTCCCATGGCCAACTCCATTGCTTCTCGTCCATCCAATTCTTCACAAGCTCCATTTTTATCAGCAGTCCATCTGTAAAAGTACATATTACAAGATCCAATCAGAATAGGGCAGGCAAATCATCCTTAAAAATCTATTTATATATTGATGAACTGATACAGACAATAGCTTCACTGGGCCTTGTCTCCACCACAAGTAAGTGTTAAAAACGAGTATATCAGCATGCTCCCACAGTGATGCATGCTTAAGCACTGAATCAGGCCGAATGACACGTTCATCTAGTCGGTGATTTACTGGATCATCAGAATTAGATTCAACAAGAAGAGGAGCCCAAAGAAATTCCACAGTAGCATTGTACTCCTGAAAATTGGCACAAAAACAGCAGTGTGCAGGTAATGAGACTCACACACAGTGGTACTTTTGAACCAAACCCCATCACCCCCATTTCTTAGTTTACAACATCAAATGTTTATTATAAAGGACTAAATTAGAAAACAATGCTAGCATCCAATATTCTTACCTCTGCTCTGAAAATAGTAAGATGTGCATTTGGTGACATTGATCTCTTATCAGCAGGAATTACAGACTGTAACAAGCATACCATAGATATCCATTGGCCTCTATTTAGTGAATCCCCAACAAACATTAGCCTTCTATTTCTTAACTTCTCCCACATTTCTTTCACATTCCACCTGTTTTCAATAAGAGATCAATAAAGCTTAGCCAAAAGAACCTACTCTGTCACAAAAGCAATTACATTTCTACAACCCATTTCTGATTTTTAAGCAGCCGAAAAGTAAGAATTGTTGCATCTCCAATTCCTACAAGAACAACTGAACAAATTTTCTTCTACTTGAACCTTGCCAAAACTCAATCATGATTATGCATTACATAACTTCACAAAATAATGATAACCTTAAAAGCATCAAATTGGGTCATTCCAACTCATGCCACCACCAAAATCATAACCTGACCATGCTCAAGGAAAAAAAAAGCTCAGAAAGACAAGCACCTCTTCAAATTGCAGTTATGTGGTTGCCATCTCCAGTGTTGGTACCCCAAATCAGACCTTCCATGTTTGTGGCAGGCCAATTGGTCAGACATGTAAGGGCAATCTGACTCATTGTACAGTGGATATGAAGCATTATCAAAGACCCATTTGCCTGAAAACACATCACATCTTTCCGGCCTCACTCTCCGGTGACTGGAACGTCGAGAACTGCCAAGCCAAGCAATTTTCCGGCCACTATACTCTATGGTGGAGTTGCATCTACTGAATCTATCCAAAACCTCTAAAATCCAACACAACCCCATTTCAACAAGTCAAACAGAAAGCACAAATCAAAGACATCAAGCTTAAAAATTTGACCAGAAAACCCACAAAGCTTTCAATTTTAAGTGCTTACAAAGCAAGTTGTAAACAGAAAGACCATACCTGAAGCACGCTTGAGATGACCAGAAAGGTTGGGTTTCACAAAGGTGACTGAAGAAACTTCTCGGTGGTTGTCAACATGATCTGGGTTTTCATGGATTCGTTGGATACTGTGTTCAGTGTGAAGGGTTGAGAAGGCTATGAAGACCAGTGAGATGAGCAAAAGCAAAGGGAAAATGGAAACTTTCTTTCTGCTCAACTTCCACCTCTGCATGGTGGGTGGTGCTTGCTTTTGATCTTGACTTTGCTTTTTCCCAATAAGGAAACCAAATCCTGGATGTACCTGAAATTTATATATGAAAAGAAAAACATATACATCACTTAATAAGAAGGAAAAAACAGACAAGAAACCAGCTTCAAATTCATGGCTGAGTGTGTAATAAAGGCTACTCAGTACTCATAAATCAGAATCAGAACCTTTGATTTGATGTTTGAACAATTATGAAATGAATTCGTGCTCCATGAGCCAGATAGATTGGTGGATGCTAATTGGACATGAAGTTAATTGTATAGTCAAAATTGTCATCATATGTAAAGATGTTATAGGTAATTTAAGGGTAGTAGTAATATTTTGGCAGGACCCTTTGACCGTTTTAACTCCACTGGTCAGTTACACTGTTTATGTCCTGTGATTGAGGACGTTGAGTGGGGGTTTTGGTGGATCACAGCCGAGTTGACCTTGGAAGGAACCAAAATAAGGGTTTATTAATGTTTATACTAGATAGATGATGCTGGCAATAAATGGCAAATGCGTACATCAGTGTTCTTGAGATGGCGGTATCTCACTAACCTTTAAAGCACTGGTGTTAATTTATTTGGAGTGTTTGAAGATTAGATTTCATGTTTTCGAAGGTTAACACGTGTCTGATTCTACCTTAGAGAGTAGTAAATTTGTGTTTAATTTCCTATTTTATAATATATAATGTTAAAAATATGAAACTGAACGCACAAAATTAGTTCTTCTAAAACACTCTTAAGTACTCCAAATTGTAAGACACAAAATCAAATCAATTTCTCCACCTCTTGACAACATGGGAAGTGGGTGATTCACTCATTTTACTCTCGTTATTTTTTGCTATTTTTCTTGTAAAGTGTTATTTACACTTTTTTTAACAAAACTTTTTATATTTTTCTCTCAAATTTTTCTCAATCTCTTTAACAACCAACTCAACCTCCTAAAATATGGCAACTTATTCCAAAGGTGTAACTTTTTTTCTATTGGTAATCTCCATGATTAGAAAGTTAGGATTTTTCACTTAAAAAAATTAGATTACAATGTCTAGTAATTTTGAATAACCAAGTTCAGCGGGTTTTAAATATTCAAACAAACATACTATAAATATATGATTTTTAAATTCAAATTAAACCTTTTTTATTTTAAATAATACAATTTATATTTAAAAACAGAAAATTATTTTTAGAAAGAAAATCAAATATGCTCTAAAAGCATATTTGTTTATATTTTTAAAAAGAATTTTAAAAAAAATACAAACATAGTCTAACATAAAAATAACATATATCAATATAAAATATTATATATAATGTTATTTTTATCACACAATTAATTATATATATTAAGCGATATCTTAGCATTTTATTATTATTTATTAACCATAGATATCCTAAGAAACTAAATTGACGATAGAAGAATAATTTTAAGAAATTTTAAATATTTAGAAATTAAAATATATGATTCTAACAATCTCAAGATTAATTTCATAAAAGTATTATATTTTAAATTATTTTAAAAATAGAGTTAATAACTTATCTCTCATTCAAGAAAAACAAAAAACATAAGACATTGTTATTAATATTAGTTTAAATTATATATTTGATAATTTATTTAAAATTTTAAATATATTAGTCTATACAAAGGTTTAAGTCTAAGCAAAAGCTGATAAATTTAATTAGGATAGTCAAAATAGTTATGGTAAAAAAATAGTACTTATTTAAAAAAAATAAATGTAAAATGGAGAATTAAAAAATCATGGAAGGGTAAGCATATTTTAATTGAAGTAATTATAGAGAACACCAAAAATAAATTATTCAATTAGAAAATGATATTCTATCGAAAAAATAATGATAAAATAAATAAATGTAAGGGCCAAAATTCCTCTCAAGTAATAAGTAGTTGTCAGCCTTAAGTTTATTAACTTGTTTTGAAGATTTGGATCCTCTTTTGTTATAGTAAGAATTGGACTGTCCAGTATCTATTCGCTAAACAAATATGAAATATTGGATGCAAAATTTAAGTAAAATTTTGTTTAAACAAATTAAATTTTCTTAATTGAATCCTGTTTATACATGCCAACATCGTTATCCAACACTGGTAAGGAAAAAAATTCTAAAAGGTCCATAGAAACCATATAAGCTACGTCGATAGTCAAATTTTGGTACAAATTGTTCCACAGCATGGGTGAGAGCAAAATCACCAAAATCTTCCATGAAAAGTGTCCTTTTGGTATTTCAAAGGAGTTGCATGCCGCCACTCTAATCCATTCCAATCTTCCTGCAATTGGGTAGTAATGAGTGAGTAATTTGCTAAGAGAGGTTAAAGAGTGTGACACGTTAGTATTTTAAAAGAAAGATCATTGATGCATGTGTTGGTGTAGAGAAAAAATTGAGATGCATAGATTACCATTTTTTGCTTCTTATATTTACTCTATAGTTCTATGAGTTGCTTGTTAATTGTTTTTAACACGAAAAACACAATTTCGTAAAATAATTAATTCATGTGTCTTAGACAAAGTACTATATTCGTTTGCTCACTTAAGCAAAATTTTACTTGAATTTTGTGTCCAATATTTTACTTAAACAAATATAAAAAGGGTCAATCTAATTTTCACTCTGACGGGAGATAATTCAGATCTTTATTTTGAAGGTAAGTTATGAATTATTACTTTATTTAAAAGATTTTACTACAATTTCATTTTTTAAGTAAATTAAACTTCATTTTCTAAAATCATGTTATACCTTTAGTCACAATTCATGTTGAATAAACCATGCTAATTATGAGCTTAAATTTTAAAAATATGTTATAATAAATATATTTATCTTTATTTTATAAAAACAAGTTTGAATAATAATGAATAGATTTATATTATAAATTTATTAATTTTAAAAAAATTATTTGATAAAGTAAATAAGTATTATTAAATTAAATTTATAAAAGTCATAAATTATTTTTATAAATATTTTATGAACTATCACACTCTAAATTTAAGTTTTTATTTATAAACTAAACCATTTTTATAAGTTATTTTCATATTCAGTCACATAAAGTTTCTTCTTTTAAATTCAATTTTTAATTTATTTTAATTATTAAATCTTAATATATTGTATTAATTTAAATTTTTTCTTAATTTTTTCCGTCAAAACAAAAAGTTAAACAGTCTATTTCTTTTTTTAAAAGTGGTTGTAAATAAATTGAAAAAGAAAAGAAACGTGAGATTTCGTGGCGAAAGGGTAATTGGAGTGTTGAATTGAATCCCGTTTCCAACCTTACACACTCCTCGCTTTGTTTCCACTTTCCAATCCATCGTTGCTTACCCTTCACCTCTCCCTCCGATTTCGTGTGAGTCTCTTCCTTTTTGCCTCCGATTTCCGTTTCGATTTCTATTTCTCTCTCTTTATCTCCTTTTTGTGGCTGAGGGTTCTCAAATAGTTCCAATAATTGATTGTCTCCAACATTGCTGATATTTTATTAGTTAAATCTGAAACTTTATTGTTATTCTGCACCGTAGATTTGCCTTCTGAATGGTTTAAGACTTTGATCTATGTGATTATGAAGATTGTTACTTGTACCTTTTTTACGTGTTAAATTGACTTGTATAATTTTATTAGCTAATTTGATATGGATTACTGAACTTCTTTTGCCCTTAAAAATCAAACCCTTGCCATGCCTGGAGTTATTTTGTAATTTATCTCTCTCAGAAGAGTAATTTATCTCTCTCAGAAGACATACACACTTGGTGAGATATGTTAAAAGTTTAATGTTGAATTTCTCTGTGTTCAAGTTGCTTAGTTGCAATGACTGGTTCAGATGATGCCACTTATTCGCACTGTTCAATTTGTCACTGTTTTCTATGTGATGTTAAATCTGGGTCATAATTTTTACCTTTTAGCCGGAACACTCAAGTTGTCGCACCCTGCCTGCTCCTGAATGGAGGTTCAATGCGGCTCTAGTTGGTCAATGGCCAGGGAAGATTATGAGGCTTTACAGTTGTTTTCGTTATTATTGTTACTATTTGGTGTGTGAACAAAGAGACCATCTTGTTAGTTTGGATTGCTGTGGACCTAAGAATAAAGGGGGGCTGGATCATGGGAACTTGGTGTCCAAAAATGTTACGTAAATGACTAATTTGATTTGAAGTATGATGTGTGAGATATCAAATCAATAACCAAAAACAATGACGCACATGCTAGTCTTTGGATGTTTATCGCCCCATGATATGCAGCTCTGAGTTCATTGGACTCTTCTAACTTCGGTGATGGTTTGTGCATGTTTGGGTGTCAAATGTTCCTTCATTTGAAGCTTTTCCTTGCCTTCACTATCTCTACTTTGCATAACTTTATGTGTGGGTTTTGACAATTTTTATGTTGGTTTTCAAGGGACTAACATAACCCTCCACCTTTACCATTATTAGGCTTGGGACTGGGTATGAGATCATTAATCATAGGCGGCATAAAACTTTGCATAACTTGTTCATTTAAAAAATTATTTTTTCTCAAGGTTGTTACTATTGTTGTGTAAGCTCCTCAATGATCTTAGATTTCCAGTTTTCACTAATCTTGAATTTCCTTTTTCTTTTAAATGGACATATTCAACAATGCAATAAAAGTTCATGTGAATGGGAAATTTGGTCTGATTGAAGTTTTTTAAATTGGTTAGATATTTAATTGAAATATAACAAGTTTCTAGGGAAATTCATGCACACTAATATTGACCTTGGAAGGTTTTTGCTGTTATGCATACCCTAGTGACACATGTCTCTCTCCCTTCTCTGCTTGTTGCTTGTCCATATCATGACCTTGGTAGCTCACATCATTTTATATAATTGATCTCAAGTATGTGAAATTGGGAACTTGTAATATAATATCATCTCCAATTTTAACTTGCAATGCCTGATCCTTATATTGTTTTTTGCTAAACCTACAATGCATGTACTTTGTCTTACTTATACTCAAGCAAAAACTCTTAAATTCTAAAGTCTCCCTTTATTACTCAAGTTTAATGTTAACTTCTTCTTTCAAATCCTCGATTAACATAATACCATATGCAAATAGCATGCGCTGAGAGGAGGCATGAACCATCCATATTACAAAAATTTCTTAAGCTCCAATTATGGAGCAAAGCATTAGTATACCAATTGTCTTCTTCACTCACTTAAGTACTCAGCTGAATAACATTTTCCTTCAGGTCATCAACCCTTTTATTAAAGTTGAGCAATGTACAAGTTCCTGACCTGGAGTATAAAGGATACCTTGGAGGATATTGCCATGATTCATGATTGTCAAATAAAATCATTTCAAAATGCATACCAGTAGTATTATTTAAATTTTCCTAAACATTGAAAAACCAGGGTAGACAACTATATGGTAAACAGGAGCATATTTCTAAACAAGTCCCTGTGGTAGGTAAAATTTCTATTTGATTGACAATTTATCCAAAGTAGAAACCTAAACGGCTAAACCTTGAAAGGAGCTCTTAGAGTAGAACACATAAAACCAGTATGGCTACCTTCCTTGTCAGCTCCAACAAATAATGACACAATTCCTTCCCAAACTGTCTTATCACTTATCAGTAGAATATTTTTCTTCCCTTTGTCATATTATAATGTAATCTTGTTGGCATAGTAGTCAATAGCATCCGCTATCCCAATGTAGTGAAGCAGCTCCTTGCCACTATTTCAAGTGAAAAGCGTTGCAGTTCTGTGTAGCGGCTGGAGCAGCATGAATTGCGGCCAAACTCGCGACTGTTGCGGTCACTATTTGATGCACGACAGAATGTCAAATTTATCGTTATTTTCTTAACATTAGAAGGCCTTTAAAAGGAGCATTTGGTATTTCGTTTCCCCTTTACATTTTCAATTTCTGCTGTATCATTCAAACTCAGTAAACTTGAACCCTAAGTGCTCCCATTCACCATCTTTGGCAACATCTACTTCATCCAACAAGCTTCACAGTAGCCGACGTCCTTCTCTAGCCAAGTTCTGGTTATCTTCTTCATCTCTAGCGAGTCCTACTCATTTTCTATGTGACCCATTTGCATTAGGAGTGACTGTCCAACCAAAATCTGACTCTGTTCACTTTATCCAGCCAAGTTATAGTCATCTTCATTTCCAGCAAGATCCACACATATAGATTATTCTATTTTTCTTTTCTGTTCTGTTATGACTTCTAATAATCCCTCCGAACGATTGAAATCTGTAATCTTCAACATATATGTGTAACATGATCTATGCTTGGGGTATTTTAAATTTTCAGAAAAGCATTCATCCCACTATTCACTATTTTGCTATAGCATTTTGGGGTCAGCCACTCCGCGCCGCTGTGCAGGATTAACTATTATGCTTGTTGGTACTAGAAACCATATATAATTGAGGAATACAACTTTTAGTTTTTACCAGAACCAGAGTTATCTAGTTTATGTGATATTCAATAATTACAATGCTGTTTTTATAGAAAAAGCTCTTTTAAGGGAAGAGATATGAAGTCACAAACTCACAATGGCCTCAAATGCCATCACTGGTTGTTTTACTTTTGGTGCCATCAATTTGACAGATTTTCCCTAATATGAATTGTTCAGGAGCAGATTTGTGATATTTTATGTGTAACTAGAAGACTTCTTTTTGTGCATGGAATTTGAAATATTATCTTGATATTGTTGTGTTCTACTTCCTTTCAGTTTTCCGAATTGCATCTGGAAGTTCCATATCTCTTAAGAGTGACACTTATCCTTAATACAGACTTGGAACTTAATGTAGCCTAATGATATATATATATATATATATATATTGAAAAAGTAATATATGTTAGGGACGTTTTGATAATTTTTAGGATGGAGAGAATTGATATTTGCCAAGAGAACAACAGTGATTGGGGGTAGCTCTGGAGAATTTAGATCATTCAATTGGTTTACTATCTTTTAAAATTCATAATTTTCTGCTGAGCTGGAAGGTATATTGAGATAAAAAAAACGTATTAAAATGCTAATTCTTTCCTTTCCATTTTGCTTCAACATACTAAGAATTACATTTTAATTCGTTTCCTTTTCTAAGTTTGGTACTTTCCTTTGAATTAGTACTCAGATCAAAATGTCTCGAAGATATGATAGCCGTACAACAATCTTCTCCCCCGAAGGACGTCTTTACCAAGTAGAATATGCAATGGAGGCTATTGGGAATGCTGGTACCGCAATAGGGATCTTATCGAAAGATGGGGTTGTGCTGGTTGGTGAAAAGAAGGTTACGTCCAAGCTGCTGCAAACCTCGACTTCCACTGAGAAGATGTACAAGATTGATGATCATGTTGCATGCGCAGTGGCTGGGATAATGTCTGATGCCAACATCCTAATCAATACAGCTAGGGTCCAAGCACAACGCTACACATATGCGTATCAAGAGCCCATGCCAGTTGAGCAGTTAGTTCAATCTCTTTGCGATACTAAGCAAGGATACACCCAATTTGGCGGTCTTCGACCTTTTGGAGTCTCATTTTTGTTTGCAGGATGGGACAAAAATTTTGGCTTTCAGCTTTACATGAGTGACCCTAGTGGAAATTATGGTGGTTGGAAAGCTGGAGCTATTGGTGCGAATAACCAGGCAGCACAGTCAATACTAAAACAGGACTACAAGGATGATATCACAAGAGAAGAAGCAGTGCAACTTGCATTGAAGGTTTTGAGTAAAACCATGGACAGCACAAGTCTGACCTCAGAAAAGCTTGAACTTGCAGAGGTTTATCTGTCACCATCTGGAAAAGTCAAGTATGAAGTTTGCTCACCAGAGTCCCTGACTAAGCTACTGGTTAAGTTTGGTGTGACCCAACCTGCAACCGACACTGCCTAGCTTGCTGTTACATAATTGGTGCAGTTTGATTATGTCTGTCTTATTATTCATTTGCTGTGTTTTAGGCATTAGATAGCAGATATTGGCTCAAACATATTTCAAGCGTGAACATTTTGCCTTTTGGTAATGCTAATGGCTATTTAGTTGGTACGTCTTGTTAGATTTTTAATGCAGATCGATGGTACTTTGTCCCATTTGGTTAACCACAGTATTTGCAATGTTTTGGAGTAGTCATTTTTAAATTCAGGTTATATGATCAACCTATCAGCTTACAAGCATTTTCGAAGTTTAGGGCTGTTCATTTGAGAAAATGTTTTTAATTTCTAGTTTTTTCTTTTATTAATTATTATCAAAACATCATAATATCTTTATTTTAATTTTTAAAGATTTATAAGAGATGTTGAAAATAATAAATTATTTTATCATTTTACCCTAAGACAAAATAAAATGAAAATAATGATGTTGGCATCTTGTTTTACTGTTTTCCTTTTCATCAAATCTTACCCGTCGACATTGTTTCATAAAAAAATTATACATTTGCTATCTTGGCTATTACATATTTGATGTCATCACAGTGTGAAACATGCTTTGTGTTTAATTTTGTAAGAAATGAAGATCATGCATAATTAACATGAAAGAAATTAACTAAAAAATATAACAGAAACAAACAGTAAAAAGAAAACACTAGTAATCTAGCATTTATATGACATTTTGACATTAGGAGAGGGAATATTCTTTACAGTTCAACTCTCCACACAACAGCAACAAACTTGCGAAAAGCCCAAGGTTAACTAATGAACAATTTGACATTCAGAACACTATTCCATACTTTAGGTGACATGTTTGTCATCGACGGAAAATATAAGCATAAAGAAGCACATTCCACGTATCAGGCACTCCAGGGAGGCACCAATGTATGCAATCTGCGTATGTGTTTGGATTAGATAACTGTTCTTCTGTTAGAGGTTCCCATTGTTTTCTATAAATAGATGGATGACCTTCTTTTCTGTACTCTGATAGCTGTGTGATGTTAAGCAATTGAACTTTCAAACCTCTTCCTTTCAAATCTTCTAGCACATTTTCCACCACTCGCATCATACTTGGAATTGATCCATTGCCCCAATATCCTTCTTCTTGAATTAGATCAGTTTCTTTGTAACAATTGTCACCCCTAGCTCCTCCCCATTCATGAGCCCTGCAATTTTATATATATAAATATAAATATACAAATCTGATTTGTACATTCATTCGAACAATCGTGTAATTATAATGCGAGCAGTGAACACTTGTGTATTTACGTGTGATTATTTTTCTATATTAATATGTAACGGTATATATGAAGCACAATGACATGAAGCATCTTTCAATGAAAAGAATTTTCATCTTGTAACTAGTGCTAAAAAGTTAGAATCTATATTAACTGTGCAATTTGAAAACTTATAATTCTTAATAACTTTTTATATAATGCAATATTGATCAATCTATTTATTAAAACATTTATATTATCTTCATAATTATGTGTATTAATTTCATATAATATAGACACTTATAATTATGTAATTCAAAATTTAATATTTATTTATATTTTAAAACATAATACTTGTTAAAATAAAGTAGTATGATAAAGTATCTATCAATTTTATTTTTATGTAAAATTTTATAAAATTGATATATTTAAAAAGAATTTTCAAACCAATTATTAAAATAATCAATCTCTCATATTATGAAAGGTTATTAAGTAACATATCTATTCACATCTGACCAATCCTAATTTAATGCTAAAATGTCTCAAATAAAAGTAATTATATACCAAGCGGGATAGGGTTAAATCCTTATTACAAACATAATATGCTGCCAATGTCATAAATTATATTTGTTAAGGTAGGTCACAAGGCTATTTATAATGATGGATATAACGTGGAGTTGCCGCACTTACTTTTGGTGAGTTGGAGACATTGAAACAAAAAACAACTGGGTCTTGTTACGATTAATATGAACTTCCAACCAGTCTGACCATGTTCTCAAGGCCATTTCATAGACTCTAACCATTCTTACCCTTTTGTATACCCCATTGGGGTCTCCAAATGATCCCCACCTGCTCGTAGTTACATTGTCACTATTAAATCAAGAGTAAGACATTGAACAAGAAAACAAAAAATTAAGACTAACGCATGTTATATCCTCATAAGATAAATATATAATATTTTCTTCATTTATAATGTATGATGATTTGTAAGAAAATATAGAAGGATTTAAAATTAAGACAAAATTCTGTTCTTCAGTCAAATTCGACATTTTTTTGTATGTTTCAGTAACCAATATTCTTTTGAAGAAATCACTTTGCATTAGAGATTCTAGCAGGAGTGTATTGTTAACACTTTTTAACAAAAAAAATTATGTTTAATTCCTTAATTAACATCCTTAGAATACTGGTTGACATTTGTCTATCTTTATAATCCCTACCAATTTTAGTTATCAAAATAAAACCAATAGTTCCTGAAAATACTGATTTAAATTGAAGAATAATACTAATATTGCATGTGATACTTTCATAGCATGGTACTTTTGTCCACAAGATAATTCTAGAATAAAATTGGTAGCAGAGGAAATGGATTGATTTGTGGTGAAAACATTAAAACACAATCGTATATATATATATATGGTGGTTGGAAATTGGAGTAATTGAAAGAGAAGTTGATGAAGGAAAGTGATGGCAGTACTTACAAAACATTCATTGCACGCCTTCTCCACCAGAGAAAAGTGTTGAAGACCAAAATGTCTGCATCAGTCCAAAACCCAGCATGTTTCTTAATGGCTTGGACTCTCACAGTTCGATCTTGTACCTTATGGTTCACAGGATCATCGGAGTTTGATTCTACTAGTAATGGGGCCCAATAGAACTCAATGGTTGCATTGTATTCCTTAATTCATCAAATGGGTCAATTGAGACATACATATAGCTACTTGCAACTGCCAAGGTTATTGTCCAATTACAACTTAATATGCCTAATCTTATTTTGATGTGTTGTTCCTAGGAAAGAGATCCTCTGCAGTGGAAGTATCCACTGCATTAAATATATATTATTATAATATAAAATATTTTAATAAATTTTAAAGACCATGCATATTAAACGCTTCACATTTCTTCAATGAAGTTTGTACATAAGAGGATGTTTGTTAATCCGTTGTTCCTATGTTCATACATTTCTTTTGAAATAATCAGAATGGGGGCCAATCCACACCGCATGCATGTGATGGGGTCTTCTTGAGTTGGAACTTATAAAGATTATTTTAAGGGTGTGTGTACTGTTACTCTTAGGTTATTTTAAGAGTGTTGATTACTATTTTTATTTAATTTTTATCATTTTTTTTTCTCTCGTGTAGATATTAATAGTAGGGATATTTTACAACAAAAATTTCTTAAATAAAAGTAACATAATTTAAACTGCATACCCTGTGGATTCGCAGGTTAACCCATATGGAAAATTAAAATATTATATTTAATCACTTCAAAATTTACAAGGCATCTTTTAATATTTTTAAATTATTTTAAAGTTTGGACGATAGAATATAAAAAAAAAAATTAATACGGTGGCCATCGCTAATCATGTACACCTTCAGACGCATTTCACGTGATTTTGTTTAATTAATTTTCAAAGTTATTGTTGGCAATTTAGATATACTTAACTACTAAATTCAATTACAAATTTTTTTTCATAATTAATCCTTTTATGTTAATGGTCAAGTATAAGTATAGGTTGTTAATTAAATGTTTGATGATTAGCTAATTAAAGTAATATGTAAGAAGTGTGAAGAAGTAACATTAATTATTCTTTCCTATGGACTTACTTCAGCCTTGAAAATGCTGAGTGACCCATTAGCAACAGCGCGCATGGATTTGAGAGTTGGGGGCACAGAAGATTCAACAAGGCAAACCATTGAAACCCATTGGCCTCTGTTGAGTGAATCCCCCACAAACACAAGCCTCTTGTTCCTTAGCCTTTCAAGCAATGCTGTGGCATTGAACCTTATTAACATAGAAGGAGCCACAATCACAAAGCTCAAAAACATAACCAAACTTAATATTGAAGCATATCATAAATATATGTAAAAGGAATGAATATAAAAAAAAAATGCTAGTGAATACCTTTAAGACATCACTTAAGGAAAAAAAATCAAAAGTTTACGTAGAATAATACCCCAATACAATCTTTAAGGTAATTGATTAATTTAATCTATCATGATATTTAATAAAAAAATATTTATTAATTTTTTAATCAATATTCTTAGAACATTTGGTAATAATTCTCAAGATAAAATCAATGTCATAAGGAGATGGAGAGAGACCTGGGTAAGTCACATTGGTGGGGTTTCCACCTCCAATTTTGGTAGCTGAGGTCCTTCCTTCCAAACTTCTCACAAGCCAATTGATCAGACATGAATGTGCACTGTTGCTCTTTGTACAGTGGATATGATTTATTATCAAAAACCCACTTACCAGAAAACAAGTTACATTTTGATAATGATTCAGTAGAGCTAGTCCTTTCTTGAGACCATTGTTCTCCTTCTTGTGTTACATAAATGGCAGTGACAACTAGAGTAGTTTTTAATATGGCCACAAGAGACTGAAAAATGTTTCTGATTCCCCAAGTGCTCTTAGCTACCACTATTTGCTGTGCCTTTGCCATTTACATTCACCTTCTTTCTCTCTCACAATGCTATTCCATCTTTTACTCCTTTTTGAAGCTTCTTGAAACCGGTTGGTGAAGTACAAGATATTTTTATCTTCCTAGCTTGCCAAGTTGTAGTAGGTAGAACATGATGCATTTAGAAGTTTTTGTTGTTGAAATGTTTTTAAAATGAGAACACACTCAAATCTATCACGCACTTCTGACTTTGAGTTTGACTAATATGGATTTTTTAAAATAAAAAATAGAAATTAAACTTAAGCTTCTACTTCAATCTTTAGAGATTAAGGATTTGGATTCTATATAGGGAAGAAATTTTATATGAAAATTGAAGGTATGCATAAGGAACACGATTAACTGTTGATATCATGATCATATATTTTATATACATAACAAATTATAGATTTTACTTGTTGGAAATTATTTTATTAATTTTACAATCAATAGTTGAGATTATTTTTTTTTTAATGTTAAACAGTTATATAGAGTATCCATTATAACGAGTAGATTTGCTTTTCGTTTAATTCATTATCTGGTTCTTGACAATTTTATCTTTGTATTGTACTAGTAATGTATTTTAAATGTGTATTTATGAATATGTATTAAAGAAAATCAAATATACTCGATGAAATGTTTCAAATTATTTAAAAACAACGTATATATTTTTTTGTATTTTAAATTTAATAATTATTTTTAAATATTTGTAGTTTTATTGTATTTTAATAATTTAATAATTAATTAGCACATTTTAAGTAAATACATGTAAACCAAAAAAAAAGGATTAAATGTGGATTAAATCAATTAAATAAATGTGATATTTGATTTTATGAATTTAGATCCTTTCATATTATTAAATAAAAATGTATTATAGTTAGTTATAAGATTCATTAATTAAATTTAATATATATATATATATATATAATCTTTTCTAACGTAATAATATATGTAATATCACTAATGTACGTACATAATTAATCTGCAACGTTAGTTAGAGAATGTTTTTCGCTGCAATTACACTTTACTAGCACTAATTCATGTTCGATATTGATTGATTCAAAGTTTGGTTTGACATAATATGGCTACTGTTTGAAGGCCAATTAATCGATAATAAACCATTAGTTTGTGTTGTTGACGTTTTCACAACCTTGAACATTGCTTGAAGAAAGATCGATTCCTGTTGTCCCTTCTGGCCACTTCCCCACATATATATATATATATAATCATATTCATCATAGTTAAGAGATAAGTATTTTAACAGGACATTAATATTATTTTATGATTTCTTTTTACTTACTCTGTTATTTATTATTATCTTTTTTATTCTATCATTTATTTTATTTTTAACACTCCTTTGTATTCAGTCTAGTTTCGAGTTCACAAATTTGAGTGTGTTATTGAATTAATTTCACTAAACAAAATTAGATATTATATTTGAGAATAGCTCAAGGATTTTTAGAATTTAAAGCAAACTTAAGAAAAAAAATTTCTATTGATAAAATAATTTATTAAAATTATTATAATTTTATTTAAAATTTATTTTTCAAATTTTTTGTGATACAAAATTATCTATATTTCATTTTCAATAAATAATAGAATCAATTTGCTTAATCTTTATTGACATATTATTGATTTTAATTAAATTTTTATTAATTTTAATTTTAATTTTAATTTTTTAGTTGAAGCAACTGATATTAAAATCATTAACATTCTTCCATAAATTTTATATATATATATATATATATATATATATATATATATATATATATATAAATTATTTTTTTATATAATTAAGAATGTCAATTAATTTATTATTTTATAATTTTATTTTTTTTTAAATGTTTAATTTTGAAAATAAATCTAATCCATTAATAACTAAGAAATTATATATTTCAAAAAAAATTTAAGGTTTCAGTATTTTTTTTAAAAAAAATTATATTATCTAACGACTTTAATTTTTTAATATTAAATAAAAAATAAAAAATATCTTCATATATTTTAAATTGTTCAAATCTATTCTAGAATGCAATAATTGTTTTATTTCATATGTATAAAAAGTAATTAATTCTAACTTATTTTTAAAGAGATTTTATAATTTCATCATTAACACTCTCATCAAATTATTTCTTTCAATGACTAATAAATTTTTTCTGGAACTTAGGCTTTATATCTATTTTGACAGCAATTTTTTTTTAGCAAAAGTCAATGCATTTTTAAATCTATTTTTCCTTATATATCTTTCAAAAAATGAAAGAAAATCTTTTAATTGTATAATACCCTCATCAATGCTCATATTTTTTAATTGTACATTTTTATTAACTAAATTAATTTCAAATAATATGTCATATCAAATGATCATTTTTAACAAAAAAATCAAAATCTTTAAACTCGTAAGTTACTAAACAATCTATTTCATTTTTTATTTTAAAATCATCGTTAACTTTAGTCAATTTTAATAAAAATATTTTTTATTTGTGAAGTTTAGAATCTTATAACTTTTACACTTTCAATACAACCTTCCTAACATGTTTGTGACAATTATTTAAAAGTTAACATATATATATATGATCTCGTAAATTTTTTTACCTATTTATAAAAGTATATATATATATTAAATGACATATTCAAAATCAGCCAAGAGATTTTGAATCTGCCGAAGCAGATTGTTGTTTTGATTTATTAAATGTCAGGGCTAACCTGACTCTGCCACCTCTGGTTGTTCCTCCCCTGGAAGGGGTGGTTGCCTTTCTAGGCATCTTACTTATCCTGTAAATATTCACGGGTAAGGTAGTCAGGAAGAGAGTTTGAAGTGCCTTTGAGATATTCAATATCAAAATCGAAAACACTTAAAATTGCTTGCCATCTTGCAAAGATTTGTTTTGAGGCAAGGTTTTTTACATCTTTTTGTAAAATTTCTTTAGCAGACTTGCAGTCTACTCTAATAAGAAATTTTTGATTTAATAAATCAGATTGAAATTTTGAAACACATAAAACAATTGCCAAAACTTCTTTTTTAACAGTGGAATAATTCTGTTGTGCAGAATTCCAATGTTTAGAAGTATATGCAATGATATGCTCATGTGACTCAATTTTTTGCTTGAGGATACCTCCGTAACCTATGTCTGAGGCATCGGTTTCAACAATTTTGAAGGCTTGAGGAATTGGGAGATATAAGCAATTTATTTTTTTGACTCTATTTTTTATTTCTTTGACAACGTTGGTATGAACATCAGTCCAAGAGGGAGGATTTTTCTTAAGCCAATCATGTAATGGCTTGATGATGTTATTTAAGTGAGGAATAAAATCTCCTACATAATTGAGGCATCCTAAAAACCTTTGTAATTGGGTTTTATCAAGGATCCTGTCAGGAAATTTATCAGCGAAATCAATGGACCTGCTGATAGGAATGATAGTTCCTTGGTAGATATTATGACCAAGGAATCTAATATTGGTTTGGAAGAGACTAATTTTTGACTTAGAAACGGCAAGACCGTTTTGTTTAATGACATTGATGAAAACATTTATATGTTTGAAATGTTGATCAATGGATTGGGAAAAAATTAGAACATCATCAATATAGACAATGACAAATTTTGAATAAGGATTAAAAATGTCATTCATAATTTTTTGAAACTCGGAAGGAGCATTTTTCAGTCCAAAGGGCATAACGTTCCATTCGTAATGCCCAAAGGGGACAGTAAAGGCAGTTTTGTACCTATCATTTTCACAAATTTGGATTTGCCAAAATCCGGATTTCATATCGAACTTTGAAAAGATCTTTGCAGAATTTAGTCTGTTAAGAAGATCTTTCTTATTGGGGATAGGATGCCTAATCCACTGGAGGGCTTGATTAAGAGGTTTGTAATTAATGACAAGTCTGGGAGTACCTCTTTCGATCTCAGCCGGTTTATTAACATAAAAGGCTGAGCAAGACCAAGGACTCTTGCTCTTTCTAATAAGATTTTTGTCTAAGAGATCTGTAATCTCTTTCTGACAATAATGAAGGAGTTCTTCATTCATCTGTATCGGTCTGGCCTTAGTGGGAATCTGGCTATCCTTAAAACCTGACTCATAAGGAAGACTAACAATATGTTTTTTCCTATTCCAGAAGGCGCTGGGTAGGTCAGAACATATGGAAGTTTGAATATTTTTTAAAAGGGATTGGATTTTTTTCTGAAGCGAAGGATCTTGTAAATGTTTTTCAATGTTGGCAAAAGAAACTTCTTCTTTTAGAAAATTAATTTGATTAATTTTGTTTTGTATAGAATTAATATTTTTTGTAAATGGTTTGTTAGAAAATTTAAAAGTTATTAGTTTTCCTAAATGACGAGTGGAAATACCATCTTTCAAAATTTGTAGAGGGAAAAGGGCTTTTATAAAAGGTGTACCCAGAATAACTTCATTTTTTAAATTTTTTACAAGAAGAAAGTTTGTTTCAATCTTAAGCCCTTGATTTTCAATCACGGCTTTAGAAAGCTTGTAATTAATTTTCAACTTTGAACCACTAGCAGTGCTGAGTTTTTCAGAGGTTTTTTCAAAATACTTTGTAGGAATTAATCCTTTTAAAATACAGTTTGAATCAGCACCTGTATCAAAGAGGGCCAAGGTATCAAGAACAAAATCATCAATAACGATTCTGATATTAATATAAAATTTTTGTATTTTGACCTTGTTGATCAAACACATAAAGGTTTCTTCTGGATTATCAGAATCAACCTTCACAGAATCATTATCTTTAGGAAGTTCTACTTTTTCAATATCAGAATCATCATCTAACTGAGAAAGAATAACTTGATGAATTTGTTGTTGATTTTTGATCTCTTTGATTTCTTTCTTGAGATTATTTATCTCAATCTGGAGATCTTGAATAGTGGTTGGTTTAATACTAGAATTCTTTTCTAGTCTTTTGAAAATATTTGTAATGTCGAATTTATTTGAAGTAAAATATTCTTTAGGTTTAGGTTTATTTTCTAAAACCTCTTTGAATTTATTTAAAAATTCTTTTCTGTTTTGAGCATCCGAAATGGAGCT